ACATACATACATATATATATACACACATATATACATACATATCCATATATACATATATACATATACATATATATATATATATTATACATATATATTATATAAAATATACATACATATATACACATGTATATATATATATATAAATTATATATTTATATATGTAATTTAACAGTGTTAACGGCTATCTTGATTTATATTATATATATATACATACATATATATACATATACATATATATATACATATATATACATATACATACATATGTATATGTATGTATATATGTATGTATATATATATGTATGTATATATATACATATATATATACCTACATACATACATATCCATATATACATATACATATATATACATATATATATATATTATACATATATATTATATAAAATATACATACATATATATATACATATATATATACATGTATATATATATAAATTATATGATAGAGAGAAACTTTTCTTGCGTTAATGCTAGAAATAATATGACGGATTATGGATAATAATATGACAAAAAAGCTTTGTAGATAAGAACCCATTTACAAAAATAGTTGAAATTACGAGTATGAATACCTTCTAGTTATACCGCGTACACAATTAGGTCACAAAATGAAACATTATTTTTTATTATAGAAACTTTAAAAATGTTTAGATCGTATGGATAATACATGAAATACTACTTGAAAGAATTCAGCATACTTACATCCACAAAAAGCTTCTACGATTAGTAAAATAAATTCAGCAACAGATTTCGTTTTGAGCTTGAAGTGCTTTTTTCACAATGACATAAGGAAGTCCTGCGAAAAAACCCTAATAACATGCTCCGAATGAATATAAATGTATATACGTAAAGAAACATCAGCATAATAGAGAAACATAGGTCAAATATAAATTGAGTGCTGATACGGTAAAATAAACACGATTGGTGTATTGTGTGTCTCGTGAACAATACTGGTCAACCATGACAAAAGGAAGCAACTGATGTTTGCATTGCTTTGAGTAAAAAGAAATATGAAGCATGTTGATTTTCAAATATATCAATATGTTCCAAATTATTAGTTCTTTGATAGTGACTAAAAAACTCGTTAGTATTAAACAGTTAGTATTGTAGTATTATAGTACAATACTAACTGTTTCCGAAAACAAACGATACGTTCAAATTCAACTCCGTAAAAAGGAACTATGAATACGAACATAAGTAGCAACTATTTTGTATGCTTTTCAGAAAAATTAATTTAATCAATATATGAAAGTCCGAGGGGTAAAGCTAAATGAAAGGGGTCCTCAAACAGAGAAAGTAGTTGAACAGCAGCGGTTTGGTGCAGCGGGAACGATTTATTTTCCCAACCTCGAGGTCGGGGTTTCAATCCCTCGCTTAATAATTTTCCCGGTTAGTAATTTATCATAGCCACCCCCCCCACCATATAGTAAACAATACGACATAGGGCTTATTTTATTTATAATATAGGGAACACACGTGATTTTGAAACTAGATACAGTATAAACATTTTCATCATGGTTTTATTTATTAAACATCCACCATCAATACACATTGAGGCCCTTCTTTTAGGTAAAACGATCTATCGAATTGTGCTTTTTCTCCCCGACGGGGGGGGGGGTCAGCTCTCCCCGACGGGGGGCCCTGGCCCCCGGCCCCCGCTGGCGCCACCCCTGAATTGGCCTACTTTAACAAGAAATGCGAAATTTGAAATTTTTATGGATTTTAAGGGGGTTAAAAGGCATCTTCAAGGGGTGGGGAAAGATTTTCCACAGATGGATATTTTCCCCTTGTTTCCCAGTTTACACCACTGCGGAGAATATCTGACGGCTTAGATCAAAGGAGATATGGACACTTTTTGTGGAAAAGGGGTTGCAGGGTGTCTCGTCATTATGATATCTTCCTTTTTATTCTTGTCTTTATTTTCCCTTCTTTATTTCCCCTTTTTCTTTTTCTTTTTCCTTTTCTTTTCCCCTTCTTTCTCTTTCTCTCCCTCTCCCCTCTTTCTTTTCTCTTATTACCCATCCCCCTTCCCCCGCCTGTTACGCCACTGCTTCTGCGCTGATTACCAGCAGCAACACTTCTATAGCATGTGGACCCAATGACTAGGGAAAAGAACTTCAGCGACTGAAAAGAAAAATGCGCTATACAAATAACAAGTAACAAGTAATAGTAAAATATGGAAAATATAAAATCTAAATATGTCAATAGACCTACAATTTTGTAAACAGATATCAAAACTATTAAAAAGTATAAAGGCTGTGTAAAGACCTTAAATTTTATTTGACCAAAAACAGTTTGATAGTCTGGACAGGGCTTAATGGTAAAAGTATAAAGCAAAGAATAGTTATTTGTCACCTTGACGGCCATCCTGTAGACACTAAGACATCTGCCACCATAGACAGGGTTTCCGGCCCCTTGTCACCCGGTCTTTTGTCTAACGGCCCGTTGCCACCCGGCCTTTTGCCACCCTAGGCCCATTGCCACCTGGCACGTTGCCACCCGGCCCGTTGCCACCCGGTCCGTCGCCAACCGGCCTTCTACCCGACCTTTTGACACCCTTTGCCACCTATGCCTTTTGCACCTTTCCTTTCAGTGCCACCCGGCCTTTTGCCACCCGGCCCGTTGCCACCAGGCCCGTTGCCACCCTAGGCCCGTTGCCACCCATGCCCGTTGCCACCCATGCCTTTTGCCACCTTTGGGAATGTCGAATATTTATATTATTTTGGTGGGTTTTTACAAAGATTTGTACTGGTAGGCCTACTGTAGCAGAATTTTTTCTTGATTAAATTTACTTTCCAGTTTAATATTTAATTATTAGTTTACTGTATTTTATTTCAAACAATCGTCCGTGCGCCTACCACCAGGAGAAAATTGCTGAAATAAACATTGTTATAAATCCGCATAACGAGACAAATACTGCAGTGTCTAGATTATTTTTATATTTTATTTTTAAGTATATTCTTATTCTAAAATAGAAAGAATAGCCTGTGCTTTTACAATTAAAAAACAACACATTAATGATAAGAATTATTTATATAGTATAACCACAAACCATGTGTGTATAATCATAGAGAAAATATTTTCTCTATAGTATAATGAACTTTATGGAATTTAGTTGGTATTTCTCTCTTTATGCAGACAATTTATAAGAAGCATATATGGTTTCTCATGAGAAATAACCGTCATTGATAAACTTTGGACAAAGCTCTTCTCGTTAGAGGTAAACTACAAAGGATATTGCGCTCAGTAACATTAAAGATCTGAGCAAACTAATCTTCCTGATTGTTTCTACCGTGACTAATGCTATTGTTCAGATTATAGGGTCTTGAAGCCTATTTTGCGTGGCCTTCAATTGGTCAGTTAGACATTTCCCCCACGCATGTTTTTTTCTATTGGTATACCAGAGCTATATATGATCATAAATTTGCCTTAATATCTTAAAAACAACAAAAGATGTGTATAAGAGACAGCATTGACCTCTGTCCAATGCCTCAAGTGATTCACCAACGTTGGTCAAGTAAGCAGAAACACGCTTTAGGGTCCACAATTTCAGTGTCCTCCATCACAATATCTTTTTGGTTGCGCTGACCTGAAAGATTACGAATGTGTCTATGCTATTCAGCCGCAATTAACTTTTTCAAGGTGTACACATTTTTAATATAATGTCCATTCTATCAGCCGTATAAGCGAATTTATCTTATTACGGAAATATCTCCATAAATATTGCTTATTTTCTGCAAATGCATCTTGTCTATTTTATATGGGCGGAAACCCACGGTTTGTCTGTGGAATGCCGTTTTACAACACGTTTAGGAAAAAAATCAATAGAATCATGAAGTGTTTTATAGAATATTGTACATTTCTCTTGAGTTCCAGAAGCATCGTAAACATCACTTTAGTTGTGGTCAATAAACCGCTGGCCATATTTTCGTATTTTGCTATCTGGCATCGGACGAATACTAAATTCATTTTAAACAAGGTTGAAATGAATTATACTCGAGATGTTTATGTTTAGCTAAATTTCTCTTGACTTTTCATTAATATCTTTCAGTGAATCTATAGTAAAAAAAAGTCATTTAGTTATAAACTACATGGGTAAACATCCATCCCAAACACAATTAGGTGTAATGTTCTCTCATGCTTCAAATTTACAACATTTTTACCATTCATATTGAACTCCTTGAGCATAATAGGCCTAGTAGAAGCAGATGTAGTAGAATTGTTTTTGACATAAAATTTAAATTACAGCTTACTAATTTTTTAACAGTAACAAATTACAGACGGACATAGACAATATATGTTAGATGGGTGTCAATCATACATTTTCAACTTATTGATCAAATATTATATTACATCCCAATGGGTCTACCATTTTTTATAGGTAGTAATTTAAATAATGTAAAGTTTTATTAATTTAAGATATTTAGTTTAATAACTTATTTTGTCTCTTAATAAAGTATTGCAATACCGATACTGTAGGGCCTTACTGCACGGTAGGTTATGAAGAATGTCAGCGTATGTACTGCTGTACACTTATTTGATTGAACATAAAATATTTTACAATCATTATTAGAGAGGCTGTAACAATCCTAAAATTCAATTACCGTATCATTTTTAAAATCTAATTTTAATAATCTTCATTGGGATGTTGATTACAAAAGTGTCCATTCATAACACAACAAAAATGGCCATCCATAACATTTTCTTTTCGTTAAGAACTCAAGAACTAGAAAGTATTTAGTAACAATGGATTGCACTCTTCCACGTTTAATTCTTTATTAGAACAATGTCAAGAATAATAGTCAATGTGGTGACAATACTTAACTACTGTACAGTACCAGAAATCAAAGAAAATGCCTCTGGCGGGATTCGAACCTGCGATATATATATAAAATATATATAATATATATAAAAGGCGTGTTTATATTTACATACAAATATATATATATATATGTATATATACATACATATATATACACATG